TCCACCCATTTATCAAACGTCAGTTGTGGACATCCATATTGCAATTATTAAAAAAATAGAGAAAATGATGAGAGGCTTTGTGGGGTTCAAATGATAAGGCAAGAAAATACCATCTTCTTAGATGGGATAGGGTATGCACACCTAAGAGTGAAGGGGGACTGGGTATCAGAAAATGGGATAGTAAATCATGCTTTGCTATGCAAAGGGTGGTGTCGAAGCTTCACTCTTAGAGATCAGCTTTGGTATCTTATTCTTTTCCATAAATATGGCATGGATAGACATAGTTTGTGGTTTGGGGGAAGCAGTGGTAGCGAGAGTCATTTTATTTTTTGGAAGGCTATTTACCTGTGCAAACCGTTACTTTACAGTAATATTAGATGGCTGGTTATTTGTAAAAAAAAAAAACATTAGATGGCTGGTTGGTGATGGTTGCCACATTTCTTTTTTGCACCAAAAATGACTTGGGGATAGACCATTAAAATTGATGTTTCCAGAAGTTTATGAAAGTATGGTGCAGCCTCATACCAAGCTTTCTGATCTGTTTGAGTTTAGGGGCAATGAAGTGTGGAATATCCATTTTCTCTATTGTATTTGCTAAATCAAGTGTTTATTCCTGGAGGTATTGCTGATAAAGTGGTTTGGGTGATGAAGTGGTTTGGGAGATCGAAGCTGATGGTCCCTTCTCGGTAAAGCCTGTTTACCTTCTTCTCTTCCATGATAGAGTTAGATAGACATTTTGAAAATGACCTATTCCTCATAAGGTCCAGGTTTTCCTTTGCTGGTTGCCCAAAACAAGATCCTAAACGTGGATAATCTCATTAAGGGAAGGAAGATCTTGAATAATATTTTCTTGATGTGTAAGGAGGATGGTAAATCAGGAGCTCATCTTTTTCTACACTGCCCTTTCGTTTTAAGGATTTGGTCATGGTTCTTTGCGGGTTTTGATATATCTTTAGCCATGCCGCAAAGTGTTTTCATTGTGGCTGCCAATCTTGCTTTCCCCCATCTTCCAAAAGATGGTAAAAAGGTGGGGCAAAGTACTGTAGCGTCGATTCTGTGAGAAGTATGGAAAGAAAGGAATAAAAGAACCTTGGAGGGTGTTTGTTTGCCTTTTCATAGACTCCGTCAGATTATTAAGCATTCTATTTTGTGCTAGCTATCTGTTACAACTACCAAAGTGGATGTAGATTTAAATCTTGATAACCTTTATAGGATGAATTTTGTGAAATGCCGGCTGATATCATTATGGATTCCACCTTCTGTGGGAGGATTCAAACTCAACTTTGATGAGAGCTCGTTAGGAAATCCAGGATTGGCCGGCTTTGGTGGGGTAGTGCATGACTAGAATGGAAAGATTATCTTCTCTTATGCTGGTTCAACTAGGGAGACCACTGTTAAACTTCTTGCTCTTCTACAAGAGTTGAAGATTTTTCAAGCTTAAAAATCTGGGTTCTCCTTTGATTGTTGAAAGAAGTAAGATAGAACAAAAGGTACCATGGGTACTTAGGTCTACCTAGTTGAAGATTCTCTACTTTTTGGATTTCATTCCGATTTCCTTCGATCATATCTATTGTGAGACGAATTCTGTGGCTGATTCTTTGGCAAAATTTGGAGCCATTTTTTTTACTTCTTTGGTTGGTGACGATGCAATATTACTATTCTAACCTTCTCTTTTCAACAAATTTGTTAACATTATTCAAAAAAAAATTTATATTTTATTTGCATTTTTTTTTTGGTTCCTACAGACGTAAAGATATTTTGAAGTTCACAACAGCAAACTCGGGTTCACCACAAGCATAATGTTCACGACGAGTGAACTTTAAGTTCATCGTATGTCAACTTAAAGTTCACGAGGAAAGAGGGGAAAGACAATAAATAAAACACAATATTAAAAAACAAAAGAAAAAGATTATAAATTATACTTTTGTAGGTATGGAAGAGAGACCCAAAAAAATCTCTTCACAACACCTAATAAACTATTATTTTTTTTATTCTTTTTTTTAATCCAAATTGTATATTTATAAAATAAAATAAAATCCATCATATTATTCTCCCAAGGTTAGACAGACCTCAACCTCAAGCTTATTGTTTTCATCACATCATTCAAATAGCAATTGAATTACTTGCAATAGTCATACCATCGCCAAGGTACTTTGCTTTCTTCAAAGAAACAATTAATCAAGCACTTCATTGGCAACCGATAATGGAACTTTAGTATCTTGAACATTATTTTAGTTTCGCTTTTTATCTCGTAACAAACTCCTGAAGACCGACCCTGATACAGCGACCAGGCAGGCATTCCTCCAAGCTTGGTCATGCATAAAATTAGCCATCATACATAAGATCAACCGTGGAAATTGATAGTAGAGTTTGATTGATTCCGAAGATGAAATTTGACATCATATGAACATAATTGTGAGCACTATCCCCTTGAATGGCGTAGACCTCACCTTAAATACCCTACATTGATTGATTTATGCTCTTTATGCTCTCGTCAAAACGTTTTGTACTTGTATCATTTATAGCAATAAATCATCACTTGCAATGAGCATCATGACTAATGCCATTGCAAACTCTAATACCAATTGATAAAGTAAAAAGGAGAAAGAAGATAAATAAAATAAAAATTAAGAGATTATGAAGATTTCTGCAAAAAACTCCACCCTAAAAAAAATCTCTTCACAAGATCCAATTGGACTCTTACTTTCTTTACTCCCAATTGGACTCTTACTTTCTTTACTCTTTCTTCTTTTTTTTACCCAAGAGTAACATAATCATAAAAGAATTCGACCCTAAAATCTAAAATGTACCTTAAGAAACACTAATCGATACAAGATTCCAACCCTCCACCTTCTAAGAAAAACTAAATTTCCATTTATACCCCTTAATTTTCTTCAAAAAACAAAACAAGCACCCCTAAAAAAACTAAAAACCCAATAACCTCAAATCTAAAATCTAAAAACTAGTACAAATACACACACATAAACATGCATACAACCATTACATCAAGTTTTTTGTTTCTCATTCTATCAACTCATACTGCTCCTAACAACCAACAATGATTTTCTCATGTACCACATTATTTCTTGTACCATCAAGATAAAAAAAAAAAATAGCACGTCCAACAAATAATTTAATGACCAAACTACAACCTTAATGAGCAAAATACAGAAAACTGAAAAAACAATCCTAATTACATAACACAACACAGTTACATTCATAACCTACATCCTTAATTATGAAAGCGAGATTCCCCTTAAGTGGTTGAATTTATCCACATCAATAACATCAAACCACAGAATAATGCATCTTTAAATTGCTCAGCAAGAACAGTTTGTTAACTTGAGATTGCAGATAATAAGAAATAATAAGAAATCCAAAAACAAATAATAAGAAAACGTAGCAGAAAGTGTGTACAAGAACCCACCGGAAGAAAGGGGTAGCCGACTGTAACTATTTAGACCTCGAGCCTTGCATGAATTGATTAAAAACTTTCACCAACACTTTCATTAGGGCCGGCAATGTGCTGGACTGCCTGGCCCACCCCTAAAACAGTAATGCGTCAACTAAAACGTAAGGCCACGAACACAAACTGTCCCTAGGGCCAGGCTAAGGCCAATGCTGGCATGGCCCTCCTTTTCTTTTTTTCTTTTTTTTTTTTCTTTTTTTTTGATTTTTTGCCCAGCCATAATTTTCACCGTCTAAAACACTGCATATCCGCAAAGCTTTTCTACAAATATGAATGCTAGCTTGGCTATGCATAGCTAAAGTAACACTTAAAATTTATAGAGAAACTGCGGCATTCTTCAGAAGAGCACTCTTCCAGGGAAAAGTGTGAAAGGCGATCATCCTGGGGGAAGAGTGCAACAGGAAGAAACTCGTATAAATAGACCTATCACTTGATACCCAACAAATTAAAATTAAAATATAAGATTAAGCTGTATGGATCAAGCACAAAACCAGTTTTTACGTTGCCTACAACTTCCATGCTTATTTCGTGAAAAGTAAGAGCTCATGTGCCAAAAAACTGATAATCGTGCGGCAAAATAAGGCAACTGATTCAAGTAAACAAGTGAATATAGCATTATTAACTAAAAAATAATCGAGAAGCTGATATGGTAGAGGGAAGCTGACATAGTGCAGATAATAGCGTTATTTATTACACATCGTGGACTTGTGATATCCTGAAATGGCACAGATTCCAAATTCCTTGAGGATCCAGCAACAAGCACGATCAATAGATGACACCCAAAACATACCGGAGTACCTCCCATGCAGAACGCTACAAACTCAACATTAGCTGATAGAAGAGTCATAGCAATACATGTTCCCAAATAATCCAGCAGCAAGAGCAACTGACACACAACTAAGCTGCAGAAAGAACTAGCCATGAAAACAATGCTAAGAACCCACATCAACACCCAACAGGCTACAACATAGAGGGATAAACGCACAAGACTTCTTCACAATACCAAATCGCATTCACCCTCAACTTTACCAACCACCAACAAAAGCAAGAGATGACAGTTGAAAATATGATTCAAGAAGCGAAAGCGCAGGGATACCAAATGACAAGATGCATAAAGAAAGAACACCATCATAAAGTGGCAGATAATAATTGCATCCATGAACCAAATTAGATCCTCACTAACAACTAAAGAACATAAACATTAAGTATTCATATACTTAGGGGCACTGAGCAACATCACCATATCCTTTTCTAGCTTTTCCATTTTTGCAAAAAAAATAACACATACCAATTGACATCTTCATATGTCAAGAATTGAATCTGGATCATTTTGTGGTCGATCTGATAGTCACGATCTTGTTTGAATGTTCTTTTTTTTTTTTACAAATCTAAATCACTTGAAATTATATATATATATATATATATATATATGGCACGCAGCTCGCATAAGAGAAACTCGTACGCCAACGGCTTAGATGCACCTGAAAAAGATGGAAGAAAATCAACGGTTTGAATTCAAATAAAAGCCAACTTACGTTTTTGGGAAATCAACGGTTTGAATTCTGAAGTTGCGGAGCACCCCATCTCTCTCTACACGAAACCCATTCTCTCTCTCTCCTGCCCAACCTCTCATGCCATTTCTCTCTGTCCTGCAGCCCAACCCCGTAAGTCATTTCTCTCTCTATCTCACACAGAAACCCTCCCTCTCTCCTCACAAACCAACCTATCTCGCAGCACAACCCACCTCTCCCTCTACACAAAACAACCATATATCTCTCTCTCTCATGCAGAACAACCCTCTTGCTCTATCCATTTCTCTCCCTAACCCCAAGAATCCCTGTCTCTCACAGTAGAGAGGCCCAAAATCGCAGAAGAAGAAAAGCAAAAACAGAGCCCTCTTTCTCGTAGTATAAACACCAAAAATCGCAGATATAGGCATGGGATTTTTTGTTAGGGTTTCGTAGAAATAGGTATGGGAAGCTCTATTTTTGTTAGGGTTTTTTTTTAGGGTGCTTTATTGTCTTTGTTTCTTAGTTAGATGTTCCATTTGTTGTGCTCTATTCTGATTTTTTAGTTTTATGCTGTGATTTTGATTTCATTGGTGTGTTTATTAGGATTATGTATGAGTTTTGCATTTTCGGTCTTATTGGGTTCTTGTATTTCAGCTCTGTTGCTGCTCATGTTTCTGTGTTCTCTCTCTACAAAATTAAAAGATTGATTGTCTACCCATTGCTACTGCTTCTTATATTGGGTTATGCATTTTGGGTGTTAAAAGTTTTGCATTTTTAGGTTTTATTGGGTTCTTGTATTTCAGCTTTGCTGCTGATGCTATTTCTGTGTTCTCATTTTTTTATATATTTTTCCCATTGTTTATCATTTTTAAAATTTGTCCTATTTTTCACAATTTATAAGGCTCTTTTGTAGGATTTTTGCTTTTTTCTCGGCTCGGTACAAACTCGGGTAAGTCGACTTGCAATTGTCCAAGTAACTCAGCAACACCATGGCTGAGTTCTATGGCCAAGCCGAGTTCGAAAACAGAGATATCTCTAAAAACCTTTCCTCGATTTGGAGTAAAGCTGTGAATAGCATATTATTTAGTGCCTTTTGAGTTATCTCGGAAAACACTGGTCTCCTCCTAAATCGATGTTTTATTCAACTTTGTTGTGATTGAATCCACTTAATTTAGTCCTGCAAGGGATGGTGTAGCTAAGGAAAATGTCATATTGTTATGTGTAGCTTGGCTTGTCCATGCTTGTCATGGTAAACTCTAATATTATTTTAAACTCTGATATTATTATTTTTTTAAATTGTGTGCACACACCATGGTCCATCAGTGGCTCCACGCGAATAGACCCTTTCAAATTGTGGTCCACTTACCGTGGCCCATAGTCTTGCACATCCAGTGAAAACAGAAAAGTGAAAACCATTCACCAGCAAACTCCTGTTGATGCCAAATGCTTTTGTATTTCAGCTCTGATGCTGCTGCTACATCTGTGTTCTCTCTCTACAAAATTAAAAGATTGAATTTCTTCTTTTATCTGGATATCTTCTTCCTTTACATAATGGGTTATGTATAAACAGTGATGCATACCTTTATATCATTTTGGATTTTAATTGCATAAGCTTCAATAGAATGTATTATGAAATTCTTTTCTTATTGTGAATGCATTATGAAATTGTGTCTTTCACATACAATCAGTGCAATTTATTGATCAAATTGGATGTCTTATTTATGGAAATGAGTCAAACTTATGTTAATGCATGGAATTATTAATTATTCTTATGGAAAAGTATCAATGGCCTTTGTTTCTTATCTGGTAGTTTGGAACGTACTTTCTTAAGCCATTTTGGAACGTACTACCTAAGCTACATAGACAAGGTGGCATATATGGGACGTTTTGCTTATTCAAATTATACAAAAGTTCACCATTTCGATACTTTCTTATTCATATTATACAAAAGTTTTGTTTATATAAAGGTTTGAATACATATATTTATTTGTCTTCTTATGTAGGTTCAGTTGAAAAACTTAGATGGATCACACCGTTTCAGACTATGTGTCTTCTTCCACTGGCGCAATTGTAGACAATATGGGTGACACCAATGAGCCCATAGAGCAGGTTCTTTATCTTGCAACCCCTCTTAGAAAATTCATAGAAATGCAAGATGGAGAACCTGACTCCTCAACCAAAGGCCTAGAAACAAATTTACCCCATGTACGAATGATGCTTTCTTCAGAAGAAGATGCAATTGACTACTACAAGGCTTATGCATTAGCTAAAGGTTTTGGTATCCTTATGGGCACTACCCACAATAAAAATGGTCAAATGATTGATAGAGAAATTAATTACTCTAAGGAAGGATTTCGAAAAGTGAAAAATCAGGTCAGTGGAAAGGAACTCCTTGAATTAAGGTGTGGGTGTAAGGCTAAGCTGGGACTGAGTAGAAAAGCAGACAACGAGTGGGTTGTGACTAAGTTTATTGATGATCACTATCACGATCTAGTCAGTCCAAGAAAATCTCTACTAATTCACAGTCACCGAACATTGTCTAGTGTCACAAAGTTGATAATAAATTCAATGAGTTCGGCAATGGTTAAGCCAAGACATATTCATGACATATTTATAGAGCAAGCTGGAGGGATTGAGAATGTCACATGTACACAAAAGGACATCGAAAATTAAATTGCCAGTTTCAGAAGAAAAGTAAGAGGAGAAGATGGTAGTCTAGTTATACAATGGCTCCATATAATAAAAGAATCGAACCCATCTTTTTTCTATAGATTGAAATTAGATGAGGACGATCACATTCTCAACATCTTATGGGTAGATGCCAGATGTAAAGTTTCATATCAATACTTCAATGATGTGGTTACATTTGATACCACATACAAAACAAACTGTTTTAGTATGTCCTTTGCACTCTTACTTGGTATATAAATCACCATTTTAATACAACTTTATTTGGATTTGCACTCATATTTAATGAAAAGGTAGAATCATTTGTTTGGGTATTTGAAATTTGGTTAGAAGCAATGGGTGAAAAACAACCAAGTGTTATTCTCACTGATCAATACCATGCAATTTTAGCCGCAGTGAGACAAGTTTTTGACCAGAGTGTGCATCATTACTGTAAGTGGCATATACTTTCGAAAATTAAAGAAAAACTATGCCATGCCTTGTTCATGCATCCTTCTTTTTCCAGATACCTTCAGGAGTTTTATAGCTAGCCCAACAGTAGAAGAATTTGAATTGAGATGGAAATTAATTATTGAGAAATATGAGTTGGAAAGCAATGAATGGCTAAATAGACTTTACGGTTGTCGCATGCAATGGGTGGATACATACTTGACTGGCAGGTTCACAGCGGGTATGACTTCTACCCAAAGAAGCGAAGGGATCAATAAGCATTTCAAGATGCACTTGACATCCAAAACGAGCTTACATACATTATTGGAAAATATGCAAAAGTGCAAGATAAGAAGGTACGAAAAGAAAAGGAAAATGACTTAAAAGACATTACAACTACTCCAATCTTAAGAACAACTTCTTTATTTGAGTCACATGCATCAAAAATCTATACTCAAAAGATTTTGAAGATATTTGTGGAAGAGGTTGCCAATTGTATGAATTTTATGAGTGAGTTAGTTGATGAAAATGGACAAGTGGCCACTTTTAAGATGGCAGATATGGGAACTGGATCTAGATCATACTTGGTGGAATTCAATCCCCATGAGAAGATGGATTCTTGCAATTGTCACTTATATGAGAGGATGGGCCTTCTTCGCATGCATGTGTTGAAGATTTTTATAATGAAAAATATTTCCGAAATCCCTCCACAAAATATAATGAGGCGCTGGTCAAAAGACATAAAGAGGGGGGTTTTTGTTGATGAAAGTGGCAAACAACTTTATGATACATCTGCACTACCACGCTCCATTTGATATAACGATGTCTTGCAGGTTGTTCGATACCTCGCTGAGCGTGTGTCAGAAAGTGTGGAAGTTCATGAATTTGTAATAGAGGTTGATGATAAATTCGGTTGTAAGCGATGTCCACAGGTTGACACCATGAGCCATGTCAATGATGAAAGAAGTGCTACTAGTTGTAGTGACACACCAAATGGAAGTTACAATTGTCAAAATGTCCTTGATCCTCCACGAGCACGAGCAAAGGTACGGCCGACAAATGCAAGAACAAAAGCTCGATCAGAGGGATGGAATCCAATGGAAAAGTCTAGGAAATGCGCAGTTTGTCAGGGTAGTGAGCATGATAGAAGAAATTGTCCATCATTCGTTCGTGAAAAGTAGTAATCCATACCTTTAGATTCTTTTGAATTTTAATTGTATAAGCTTTTCAATCTAGATGTATTAGAATTTTCATATGATATTACTCATTGTGAATGCATTATGAAATGCTAATATTTCAATTTATTTTTTTACTACAGGGTTATTTTCAAAGTCCACTATAAGATTCGGTCCCCTAAGAACATGTGACATGAGTATTGATGGTAAGCAACATTATGTATTATTCATCTATGTATGAAATGTGTTATGTACTCATGTATGCTTGCATGTTGTTTATATGGATGCATGTGCACGTTGTATGTTGCTTGTGACCAGATATGGATTGCTCTTTCAGGATATCATTGGTCGGAAAATCAGCTTATATAAAGTATTAGAATTTGCTGTTACGCAAGGCTCACATTGGATCTTCATAACAGGTATAAACTAGGATTCTCTTTAGTCTCAATGTGGTTCATGCTTTTATCACTGTGCATTTTGGTAAAAGATCAAGACTATTCTCCTTTATTTCAGTGTGTAATAGATCAAGACTATTCTTATTGTTGTAGGTCGAAAAGATGCTCCACAGAAGATACGGAAATGTTTTGCAAAAGATTCAAAATCCATTTTTGGTTACACGCTCCTTGACATAAGTCATGAGCTATTTTTTGTTACATGCTCCATAGTTATAGTGAATGTGGTGATTGTGTTGTATGGAAATGGGGCAGTAAAGAGTCATTTTTTTGGTAAAATGAAGTTTTGTAATGGAGATGTTTTGTGAATCTAGTGATTGTGTTGTATGGTAATGGCCGCAGTAAAGAATCATTTTTTGGTAAAATGCAGTATTGTAATGGACATGTGTGGTGAATGTGGTGATTGTATTATATGGAAATGATTCAAGAGTAAATATGGGAATACGTAAGCCCAATGTTTGAAGTGCTAATGTTAATTATAGAGGGAATTTGCTGATCTGTGTGGTGAATTTGGATCGTTTTGTGAAAAGTAATAATCCGCGCTTGTAGTTCTTTTACAATGGTTGCGGTTTCTTTTTTTAAGTATAAAAAAGAAATGAGTATTATGCCCCTTAACAACAGTGAAAATCCTCTAAATTCCACCCTCTTCAACCCGGCATTTGGTCGCTCTCTCTCTCTCTACCCAAAATTTATTTTTTAAATTTGGTAATTACTAATGGAGAGCAATTGAAAAAAAAGAAATTCATTCAATGAGGCACTTACATCCATTTGCACAACTTTCAGTTATCACAAAATAGAGAAAGCAAATCATATATTGTTCAGTGTGAACAGGGAGAGGGGAGGAGCAAAAGAAATTAATTCAATGAGGCACTCACATCCAATTGCACAACTTCCAGTTATTACAAAATAGAGGAAGCAAATTATATATTGTTCAGTGTGAACAGGGAGAGGGGAGGAGCACAGTTCGACTTAATATACGACAACACCTTGTAACAAGTTGTGAGATTATATCACTGTTTATTTGTAACTAGTTGGAAGATTATATCATGGCGAGCTATACAGATGGACTGTGTGTGTAACGTGACTTTCAAAGTAGGAAAATGAGACTTTCAAAGTAGGAAAATAACCCATTGCAAAATAAAAATCCAAGTAACTTAGGTGCATTGAAATAAAAGAGCAAGCAAAGAACACCCATCGTTGAAATCTTCTCAATAAGGATGATAGCTAACAGAACTTTTCTTTTCCAATGAAAAGAGAAGTTTTGACAAAAATTAAGAGTGATTGGCTATGGCGAGCTCCTGCAACAAAATCACAACCGACGCAAACAAGAGATATTGCACATGACAATTTGGCAGACTCATAATGTTTCTTAAACGGTTTCAACAAGTTCAATCCAAGTGTTTGAATCTTAAAGTTTGCTCACTGTGACTGAAGCTCCCTTTACAACACAAGCATTTGTATACAAATTTCATTACAAAAAAGTATGCTTGCTTCCCATCCATAAATGATATCAAAGAGAAAGCATGCTTGCTTCCCAAAAATAGAAATATTGGGTTTCTTGGGAGTATAGAAACCCACGCTTGAAGTAAAGGACTGCTAAGCATCTACTGACGTTTCAAGGAACCTACAAAAGAAGCAAAAGAATTCAGCACCACATTAGTAGATATTTAACCATAGATATCGAAATAAAAGCACAAGATAGAAATTAGATCAAGCATCATTCAAAATAAATAAATAAAATAATATGGGAAATTTGAGCAATTCCAAAAACACATCAGATGAAAAAGCATGAACTGCATAAAAAACGGTTGTGTACATGATGATTATGCAAGGACGTAAAAGAAACCCAGGAATAAATTCTCCACCTCAAGAAAATTTTCATTTTCCAATGATACGTTGACTTTATCGGAATGCACTGTAGCATAGTGGAGTTTAATTCTGGAACAGTTAGGGAAATAGAACCCTTTTTCTTTTTCTTTTTTTGTTCTTTTTTTTTTTTTTTTTGCTTGTTAGTTAGGGAGATAGATTACAGCATGAAAGCACAAAAAACATCAACGACGACAAAAACATTTGGCATCAGCAGGAGTTTGCTGGTGAATGGTTTTGACTTTTCTGTTTTCACTGGATGTGCAAGACTACGGGCCAAGGTAAGTGGACCACAATTTGAAATGGTCTATTGGCGTGGAGCCACTGATGGACCATGGTGTGTGCACACAATTTCGAAAAACAATAATATCAGAGTTTGCCATGACAAGCATGGACAAGCCAAGCTACACATAACAATATGACATTTTCCTTAGCTACACCTTCCCTTGCAGGACTAAATTAAGTGGATTCAATCACAACAAAGTTGAATAAAACATCGATTTAGGAGGAGACCAGTGTTTTCCGAGATAACTCAAAAGGCACTAAATAACATGCTATTCACAGCTTTACTCCAAATCGAGGAAAGGTTTTTAGAGATATCTCTGTTTTCGAACTCGGCTTGGCCATAGAACTCAGCCATGGTGTTGCTGAGTTACTTGGACAATTGCAAGTAGACTTACCTGAGTTTGTACCGAGCCAAGAAAAAAGCAAAAATCCTAAAAAAAAGCCTTATAAATTGTGAAAAATAGGACAAATTTTAAAAATGATAAACAATGGGAAAAAAAACAATATATAAAAATATGAGAACACAGAAATAGCATCAGCAGCAGAGTTGAAATACAAGAACCCAATAACACCCAAAACGCAAAACTCATACATAATCCTAATAAACACACCAATGAAATAAAAATCATAGTAAAAACTCAAAAATAAGAAGAGAGCACAACAAATAGAGCTTTTCATATCTATTTCGGCGATTTTGAGGGATTCTCACACATAATCCAATACAAGAACCCAATAACACCAAAAAATGCAAAACTTTTAACACCCAAAATGCATAACCTAATACAAGAAGCAGCAGCAGCAATGGGTAGAAATTCAATCTTTAAATTTTGTAGAGAGAGAACACAGAAGTAGAAGCAGCATCAGAGCTGAAATACAAGAACCCAATAACACCCAAAATGCAAAACTCATACATAATCCTGATAAACACACCAGTGACATAAAAATCACAGTAAAAACTCAAAAATAAGAAGAGAGCACAACAAATAGAACACATGACTAGGAAACAAAAACAATCAACCACCCAAAAAAAGAAAAAAACCCTAACAAAAAATAGAGCTTCTCATGTCTGTTTCTGCAATTTTGGGTGTTTATACTGTGAGAGAGGGCTCTGCTATTGCTGCTTCTTCTTCTGTGATTTAGGTGTGTCTACTGTGAGAGAGAGAGGGCTCTGCTATTGCTGCTTTTTCTTCTGTGATTTAGGTGTGTCTACTGTGAGAGAGAGGGATTCTCATACATATTCCAATACAAGAACCCAATAAAACCCACAAATGCAAAAATTTTAACACCCAAAATGCATAACCCAATATAAGAAGCAGCAGCAATGGGTAGACATTCAATCTTTTAATTTTGTAGAGAGAGAACACAGAAGCAGGAGCAGCAGCAGAGCTGAAATAAAAGAGCCCAATAAGACTGAAAATGCAAAACTCAATACATAATCCGAATAAACACACCAATGAAATCAAAATCACAGCAAAAACTCAAAAATCAGAATAGAGCACAACAAATGGAACGTCTGACTAAGAAACAAAAACAATAAAGCACCCTCAAAAAAACCCTAACAAATATAGAGCTTCCCATACCTCTTTCTGCGAAACCATAAAAAAAAGTAGAGCTTCCCATACCTATTTCTGCGATTTTGGGTGTTTATACTGTGAAAAAGAGGGTTATGTTGTTGCTCTTCTTCTACTACTATTTTGGGTCTTTCTACTGTGAGAGAGACAGGGATTCTCGGAGAGAAATGGATAGAGCGAGAGGGTTGTTCTGCGTGAGAGAGAGAGAGATAATTGTGTAGAGGGAGAGGTGGGTTGTGCTGCGAGATGGTTGGGCTGCGAGGAGAGAGAGAGTGTTTCTGTGTGAGATGGAGAGGGAAATGACTTGAGGGGTCGGGCTGCGAGGAGAGAGAAATGGCTTGAGGGGTTGGGCTGTGAGGAGAGAGATTGAATCTCGTGTAGACCGAGATGAGGTGCATTGCAACTTCAGAAGTCAGATGGGCGGGCCTACTTTTTTTACCCAAAAAGCTTAAGGTGGCTTGTATTTGAATTCAAACCATTGATTTTCTTCCAACTTTTTCGGGTGCATCTCAGCCGTTGGTGTACGAGTTTTTCCTACGCGAGCTGCGTAGGGCATCTTTTCCCTTTATATCGGAAATGAACTTGTGAGACCCTTTCACACTTACGCGTATAGGATTCCAACGGTCACCGTTAAATTTGGCTTTTTTAGAGAATTATATCAAATTTAATGACGATTTTTTGGAGTCCTATACATATAGATGTAATAAGGTCTCATAGGATCATTAGTATATATATATATATAGAAAAAGTTTTGGATTAGATCATTATCTCATATGAATATATGAGCCTAACGGCCCATTGAATATGGGCCGATCGGACGATCACGGGTGTTCGGTACTGTTTGAATTTTAATTTTTTTTATACAAATCCAAATCACTTGAAATTTTAAATGTATGTTCATAAAATATATTTGAATCTTTCAAAAATATCAAAAATATATTTTAGATAAAATAAATTGACCAAAATACCTCTAAAATCTTTTCAAGGGTATTTTGGTTTTTTTTTTCATGAATAAATTTTTTTATATTTTTATTAGGTATGCCTTAATGAAAAAAACACACTCTAAAATTTTAAGTGCTTTGAATTTGTATAAAAAAAATTGAAATTCAAACACTAAATGAGATCGTGATCATCAGATCGGTCCAGATTCAATATAGGCCGTTGCGCTCATATGTTCATATGAACTAGTGGGCTAACCAGAGCTTTTCCTATATATATATATATATATATATATATAGGAAAATGCTAGCGTAGGTCAGTGGGCCTATAACTACATATGAGCCCAACGGCTTAGATTGAATCTGAGCCAATCCAATTATCACAATTTTATTTTTTATTTGAATTTTAATTTCTTTCTATAAATTCAAATCACTTGAAATTTTGGACGTATGTACTTTAAAAATAAACAAATCCAATAAAAATATCAAAAAAATATTTTGTGAGAAATAAATAGATCAAAATACCTTTGAAACATTTCAGAAGTATTTTGATCAATTTATATATTATAAATTATTTTTTAAATATTTTTATTATGTGCTCCTTGATGAGAATAATAGACGTCTAAAATTTTATGTGATTTAGACTTGTCGAAAAATAATTACAATTTAAAATATAAAATGAGACCGTGTCCGACAGATCGGGCCAACTGTTAGGTTTAGGTTTATATATAGCTGTAGACCCGCTTGCCTACGCTTGCATTTCCTATATATCTT